CAAAGGTGATCCTCAGACAGGCAGAAATATTTAAAAATACTTCTAAATAAAAACTGAATAATGGAAGAAAGAGAAAAATATGCTGATCTGGAATATTTTCTCCACTGGAAAAGTCTTCCTGTGATCTGAAAAAATATAAATCTTAAATTAGGACATGAAATATGGTTTTCATGGCTGTAAAAGTTATTTTATAGCAAGTTGTTGTGCTTCCTATAACCCTGTAAAATATCAGCCCAGGCTATAAAATCCTTTCAGATATGGTACATCTTGTCAGATTTACTGCTGATCTCACTAATGTCACAAGCAAATTACCTATTCTCTTCACCTTTTCTTTGCTATCTCCTACACCTTCATATCTCCGCGAATTTTCCACATTTTCTTACATCAAAGCAGATCTAAAAGCCTTTAACTTGAGGCTTTCCCAGAGCACATCTCAGACAGTATCAGCTCCTGTTTAGGCAGTCTGTGCTAGCTCAGAATGAAAACCCTGCCATGGATTTTATTTGGCCTGAGTGGGCCCCCTGGTGTGTGAGCTCAAGATTAAAACCCCTGGGTTTCTCAGTCCAATTGGTCTAGTCAGCATTCAGCCTCCATTTTTTGCCTGAAGCAGAAATGGGGGCTTGGGGGGAGAACAAGAACTGCATACAGTGCTAGTGAAAAAATCTAAACTATTTTAATCCAATGGAAGTTCTGTGAGCTGTAATGAAGTATATTGTTCTGCTGTGTTGCCACTGGTTGCTAGTTAACTGCACCATCAGTGTTTCGCTGCACAGATCTGGGGTCCATGGGAAAGCAAGCTCTGGAAAAGCCATGATATAATGTCTTATTTCCCTAATAGCAGGCAGCAGCTTGGCACCAATTGCCCTTTGATGTCACAGTGCTGAGAAGTTTCACTGCATTTTAGCTCAGAGGTGAAGGGAAGTCCTCAGGGAGGAAGTCACTCCCTGCTACCACAGTGCTACGTTCCCCCAGTAGCTGAATTTGGCTCCTCCAGGTTGTCCTCCCCTGGTTTCTAAACGCAGAAAGGAATTCAGCCTGAGCTGAGACTGGTGTGAACGGGGCAGAGGTGGCAGAAGGGACATGGCTGGACCATGGTGCCCACACAGAACAAGTGCAGAAGGGCAGCCATGCATCCACCCCCTCCTCCGAAAATGCCCACAGTGACAGAGCTGCTGTCCTGCAAAAGACCCCCTAGCTGCACTTCAGCTTTCCAGCCCCTGGCATGGCCAGGGCAGCATCCTTGCTCTGTCCCAAAGATCTGCCTTTCAGCATGGGATTAGCATGTTAGTGCGGGGAGAACCCGCTGCCTGTTGTGCTTCACTCTCCCGCTTCAGCGCTCACAAACTTCATTCAAAGCTTCTTTGAAAAGCAGATGCACACATGCCACACCCAGGCACAGCTGCTAACATGAGGCAAGGAAACAGGAGACATTTAAATATAGAACAGCCAGCCTTGGTGAGAGGGGAGAGCTCTGCTGGTGCAGCCTGACTTCCTTGATCAGCAAGCTCTTGTGCTTACACAGAATGAAATGACACAAGCGATAATTTCATTTGGAAGGAAAAACACTTCTGTAAAGCAAAGTATGCAAAGCGGCCTATGTTGGGTTGTTTCAATTTTGCAGCTGAAAAATAAAAGGAATTCCTCAGCCCAAGATTTTAGAAAGCCAGACCATATTTCTGGTGAGTCAAACTTTAGATGTCCAGGAACATTAGTGTCTCCAGGAGAGAGGAACACAGATTCCCTCAGGACTAGACCCTGTATATGTCAGGATAGGCATGCACTGGTTATAGGCAGAAGGTACAATAGATAATTTCTTAATCTATCTAATTCAGTATCATTTAAGACCTGACCTTCCTCAGAATAAAGACCCAGTTTTACAGCCTGTAGAATATCTGACTTTCTTAACAGCAACAGATGATACAAGTCTTTCTAAGCTTGAAAGAAGAACTGCCCTGACTTTAACTCTCAAGAAAGCCTTGCCCTGTATAATAAGAAATCAAGGACCTTCCCTTTGCCCAAGCAGTGTAAGCAGCTGGTATCTGCAGTACCTGCCACAGCTCTGGGCAGCTGTTAACAGAGGCACACGAACCCCACCAGGGCTCTCAGGCGTTTCAGGGGAGTGTGCCTCCAAAAGGACAGCCTGGCAACCCACACACTGGGAAGAGCCAGCCCAGGGGGAGAAAGCACGGTTAGTTCTGAGCTCATGCAGAGCAGCAACAGGATGACTCAGGGACACCCAGGCAAGGAACAGGCCATGGGACAGCTGTGTAACTGGTGGGATGAAATGTGCAGATGTCCAGCATTGACTCATTGCTCATTGACTGGAAAGCATTTCTGGCCAGAGCCGTACCTGTCCTGTCGAAATGAAAAGTTACAAACTCTTGCTTGCCAACAAACTCATCTCAACTAGGAAAACTCTATAGTTTGAGTATCAGCAGCCCCAAGCATGGAACTCTCTGCCTCCCAGCAAGCTGGGTGCCTGACCTGCTCTCCATTCACATCGGCCTCCATTGCTCCCTCCCCACATGCAAAACCTGGAAAACCAACCTCTATCAACAGAAGTTGTCAGCATACCATCACTGAAAGGCTCTGGGGACTCTACTCCATCACCTCACAGGAGTCTTACTCCCTGCTGCTTTCCTTAGGGCTACTGGCCAAATAAAGTCCCAACTGGCACAATTCAAGATGGCCCAGTCTATCCTTGAACTACCACCACCATCCATCTGCACATCAAGTACAACTCAGGGTCATACAGACAGCATGATATTTGAGAAGAATCTCAGTATCTTCTGTGATCAGCACAGTTTCAAAGTTTAGTGCACTGTTGGCATTGAACAACTAATTCTTAATGCAGACATGACACCACATATTGAGTGGTGAGAAGGACAGAAAATAGGACATTTTACATATTTTATTTTTCTCAGAATTTTAGCAAATGTGTCTGTAGTTCAGTGTTATTCTTCTTCCTACAGTTGTACCACCATACGATTATAAAATACTACAGATGACACTTTCCAAGCTGTGATCCAGGAGGTGACATTTCATTTTCAAAACTGACCTAAGAATTTAATTCCTAATGATTTAAAGACTTAGATTCATTTTTTTAAGATTGTCACCAAAATGGATATTAAGGTGCTTTCTGAATAGCTGAGCTAATTGATACATCCACAACATAATGTTTGCATAGGTTTTCTTGTAAAACAGCCATAGAATTAAAATGTATAAATACAATAAAGTAAACAATCGGGGCTTATTTTCCCTGTCCAAAGTGCAGGTGCTTCCATGTGTACATACACACATCTATTTGTACTAACATGAGTAAACTTAGTAGACTTTGTCATAACTATATCAACTGCCAGGAACATAGATATGCAGATAAAATGTATTTTAATAGCTGTGCACGTGGATTTTAAAAATAAATAATCTAATCCAAATAAACTTTGAATGAGAATATCTAGATAGACACAAAGAGATTTTTGTAGCTGGACCCTATGAAACAAGTTGTTGTCTGTCACAAAGGCTGAAGGGAAAGCAGGGACGCCTCTTTGTTACGAGCCTTCAGATAAAGATTAAGAGCAGGGGGAAAAGGCATTGCTGCGTTTATCCGAGTGTGAGCTCCGAGCCAGGCTGCGAGCCTGCCGAGGTGGGAGCCAGGCAGCGCAGCCCGCAGCTCGGGGCAGCTGCCGGCACGGGGCGGGCTGCCAGGAGCCAGCACAGCACAGCGTGGCCTTACCTGTTCCAGGTAGCGTTGGAGCAGGCCCGGCGCTGCTGGCTCCCCCGCTCTTCCAAGGCTGCCTGCTCTCTCTTGCCCAGATCACTGAGGCTGGGCGAACTCATGAACTTCAACCTGCGAAGAGTCCTCATGGTCAAATGTGTGTTTGCAGCTACAGATACACCATCCTGTTTACACACATACACACGCAGCTGGAGCAGCGGCGGCAGTGCGAGCGGTTCCCTCCGTCTGCTGTTCAAAAAAGAAACTTAAAAAAAAAAGAAGAGAGAACCAGTCTCTACGGAGCACACCTCTGCCAGCAAGAAAACAAACCTTTAATCAGATCAACTCTGACGTCATCAACTGTGGTTAATAATTTCTCCAGTCCTTTCAAAAAATAAGTCAGACTTCTGGCTGCTGCTACAGCACATTGAAGGGGCCCCTTATAACCACAGCTGCCCCAAGCTGAAGGCTTCCCTTCCCCGTGGCCCCAGGAATCTCACTCAGCACTGCGGTGCTCCACCTGTCATAGGAACTGCCTGGCTCCTGCAGCAGCCTGGGGGGGGTGGTCTCGCAGCATTTCCCAACCTCTCCCCCCTCTTCCTGCACTCATAGATGGAAACAAAACTGGAGGGTAACAGACAAGAAAAAAAAAAAAAACAAAACTCAAACCTAAGTAACCAGTGCTGACGCACTGAGACTTTACTGTGAAGTTTCATAAGTGCCTGTGCCCTGCCACATTACGACACTGGTTGCTCGCACTCTCACTCACACATCCACACCCTCAGAGGCTGCTCTGGCCCAAAGCCTCACACAAAGGCAAGCCATGTAACTGTGGAATTAAAGCGATGGCCTGGGGTTTAGCACTTGGAGGAATTTTTGGTGGTACACAGAAGAGCCAGATGCTTTGCCCTTCGCTGCATTTTATTGGTTTTGTTCTATTTTTAAATTGCAGTAACAGCTGCACAACTTGGGGCATACAAAGTTTCTACAAAAGCCCCATGTGTCTTATCTTCAAAAGAAAAATCTCTCTCGACTGCAGCAGTGGAGCTGAAGGATATGCTGCTGCAAGACTCCACCCCATGCTTAGTTTGCTGTCACTTACCTGCAATTCTGTTTTAAATCAAGGATTGCCTGGCCAGTCTTCTGGGATAGTTTGCAACAGACTGAACCAGAGCCTAAGGATGGCTCTTCTGTCATCACTACGTCACTGATCTGCAAATACTCTGGTAAAAGCCACAAAGGCTCCTTGCAGAGTAACCTCACACTCAGTGCAAAGGGGCTGCAATAAGAAGAACCTATCCTTGTTTTTTTTTTTTTTTCTGTTTTCTACTTACTCTTTTCATCTGTAATAGCCTGTTGTTTAGATTCAGGCTATAACCAGATTTGTTGGTGTCCAAATAACATGACAAAGCTTTCATTTCAGGAAAACTCAGTTTCTGACAGAGAGCTCTGCCCTATGTGCATCATATACTGACATGTTTTAGTAAAACACCAACTCCTCTTATTCAATTTAAATATTTACTTCCAAAATTTGTATTTCTTGTTAGCTCCATGGGAACCAATTGCAGAACTACATAGAGAAATAAATCTATTTTTACCATGTGCCAGTTTTAGCCGTAGTTGTTTTATCCAGCAGCTTGAATTACCATTGTATTAATTGCCCTTACCACACCAAAATTCAAAAGTATACAAACCAGCAACACAGTAGATACCATAAAAACATTTCACTTTGGAAGGGACCTGCAGCACCACATCTAACCTATGGACAAAAACATGACTATCCCCAGTCTCTTCCAGATGTTTAAATCCTTCAAACAAAAAACAATTATGTATATGGCAGCAAAAGGAAAACAAATACAACTATATATATACATACACATATATATATATATATATATATATATATATACACACACACACACACACATATATCTCCTCCATATTTTAAGGGATGAGATGTCTTCTACAGCATACAAAGAAGGGAGCAAACACAGCTCCAGCAAAACACTGGTTTATCCAAATAGGATGAAGGCCACTCCATTTCTGTGGATAATATGGCTGGGGAGAGCAGGGGAACCCAACTCAGCCTAAGCTTCTGCTAAGGGCTCAGATAAAATGTTTGTCAGCCCTGTTAAGTGAAACAACTAGTTAGACAAACAAGGGGCAATATAATTCCCTCTAATTTAATTTTCCACCTAGCTCAGTTGCTTTTCTGTTTCTCACTTGCTGTGAATTAGATAGGTTTTGCAAAATGTTATTATACTGGATTAGATCCTCAATATTTTTTAACTCTTTGATTCCATCTGTATGGTGAAATACTACACCTGTAGAAGTCATTCTATTTATATGCCACCCCATCAATCTCAGTAACCAGTGCTAGACTCAGAGTCAATGCATGCAGCAAAACTAAGATGAGCCAGCATTTCAATCTCCTGTAGAATTTTTAACAGGTGACAGGCTTTCTCTACACTCCTTTCTCCTTTTTATGATTACACCTGACCAAATGTTGATTTATGATAAAATAAATAAATTATAAAATAAATGTATTTTATGATAAAATAAATATTTTTCACCAAGGGCTACCTCCACCCATAATTGCAGAATAATACTTCATAATACTTCGTATTTATACCCTGTTGTGAGTCCACAGACATGCTTGACTTCATGTCACTCATTAACTTGACCTAAGCAGAGCTTGGGTATGAAAGGAGAAGATAAAATCTGCAGTTCAGCATTACGAGTACAGAGAGAGGTGGCATGACTGGCCCAGGCCACCCCATGAGCAGGTGGCAGGGACATCAGGAGATCCTGGACCTCTGTTCCCATTGCAGCAGAGGAACGAGTGGATCCTGCAGGAAACAGGTATGTGGGGATTTCTGGGGCCAATGCAGGACCAGAAGTGCCGGGAAGGCACTGAGCTGAGCTCCCAGTACAACCCAGCACCGCTCCCAGAGCGGCTCCGAGCGCAGCCGCTGGCCCTACCGTGCAGAGGGATCAGAGCACTGCTGGATTTCCTGAGAGCGAGGGGAGCCTGGGGGAGACCTCCAAAGGCTCGGTAAGGAGCTCTACAAGCTTCTTAAACAGAACAGCTGTACTCAGCACAGTCACAGAGCTGCGACTGTAAAGCACCAGTAGGTTAATTCATTTAAACCCAGCACGCCGTACACGGTACTAATGCCATTACTTAGCTCACACAAAAACTGCAGCTCAAAGGTTAAGTATTTAACCAAAGCCACACAACCACCTCAGTGAGGAAGGCACTGCCAGACCTAGCTCCTTCTCTTCCCCTCCAACATTTGTCCTTGTAAAAACAGGCCTGTCTCTACTACAAAGAATTCTTTGATCTGTGGGGCCCACATCCTGCGAGTGACTGCACAGCAAGTCCCAGAGCCACCAGAGTGCCACAGCCATAGGGGAATTTCTGGACTTACCTGGACTTACTTCTACCTCAAGACCTAAGACAATATATAGGTAGATAAATACAAGCTGGAAGTTGAAGAGGATTTATGCTTTTACTAGAAAACCATGTTAACATACATACAGATCCAGAACCTAGTATTAAACGCTGCTTTTAAAATCGCAAGGGTTACTCCACCGTTACCTCCTGATATGTCACTTATGTCTGCAACACTCCAACTGGTTTAAACACTGAATTGCTGTGCCTAGAAAACATTAGACAACAAAATCTGGGCAGCCATCCCCAAGCATACACTTGGTTTCAAAAGAATGAGATTTGCTGAAAAAAAAATAGAAGAAAGAAGCATACATTTTATTTACTAATGTTAATTTTTACAGTTTAATTGTACTGTCTGCTTCTTTTTGATCATGACGAGAGGGGAAAAAGCAAAAAGTAATGTTCTCAATGGGAAACATTAAGAAATTCACAATATATGAAATTCATAATAAACCTGTGACTGCTATAGGTCAGCATGTTTTAGACTACACCACTCTGCTACTGCAATGACAGGTGAGCACTGCAGTAGTATTGGTACCAGTGGGAAGATATAAACAGTAAGAGAATTTGCCATCTCAGCTTTATTCACCATTCAGAGCTTTGCCATGAAACAGAACAACTCAGTAAAAAAAATTTAATTGTAAAAGAAAAAAGCAGCCCACTACTTCACTTCATCTCCCTGTCTCTTTTGGAGAAGGGAGCAGAACTTCCTATAGTGATGCTGAGTGGTGTACACTTTGCAGCCAAGAAGAGAATGGTAAAGTGTCTCTGTGGCAGAAAGGAGTTAAAAAATCTCCCTAGAAAAATGCATTTTAGTTTTTCATAAGCTACACCACAAAACTTAGGGCATGCCTCGACACATGCCAGAGCTCAGGAATTAATCTTCTGACAGAGCAGTGCAGCCTACTTAAAGGCACAGCACACCCTGCCATGCCAGCAGACGAGGGCCGAGGCAGAATGGAAGGAGAGGCAATCATCAGGAAAAAATAAAAAGAGCCAGGAGGAAATGAAGTTGTAAACCTTATGACTCATCAATTCCTTTGCTACAGTATCTACATAAAGCTCCTTTATCATCAGAAAACAAAGAATAAACAGAGTAAAGAACATATGAAACCAAACAGGGTCTATTTGCACCCTTCCTCCTCCATCCCACTGACTCTCTGCAACCTCTGGAGATAAAGGCGTTCTTAAAGATGCCTTTTTGTTTATTAGTTAGTCCTGGGACACCCTTGGTCAATCCTAGGACACATTTGGTTATGCTAGTCCTTTATCTTATTTCTACCCTCACCACAGCCAAGCACTGATTTGTAAGAGAGGACTTGGCCTTACTTGGACATCTTCCCCAACCCTTGGAACACCTCCTGTACTTCTGCATCCTGTGACCAATCCTGCCTGCGTGACAACAGCTGCCTCCCTCTGGACAGAGCTGGGCTTTCTGCCCTTTCACCTCCATGTGGGATTCACACATGGTGTCTGTCTTTCAGGCTGTGACAAAGAAATGCTCATGACAGTATCGCCTCCCTAGGGAATCACAAGGTGACACCCAAGAAGAGCCCTTTGACTTGGGCTAGAAAGGGATGCTCTGCCCCTGTCGCTACTTCTGCACTTAATAGTCCACCCTGGAAAGCTCCAGAGCTGACCTTCAGGCAACCCACGGTGCTGCAGCTCCCCTGCCTGCCTCAGAGACACACTGGCTTCCACCAAACATGACCATCCATGCCATGGCAACCTGCAGGCAATCAGGGCCCATTTCCCAGACTTTCCCTTCCAGAGGTTTTTCAGTGTGAGGCAGAGCAGCCTGAGTGTGCCTA